GTGGCAGCCCTATTATATATTAATTTATTCATATTTATAAAGGATAAATGTTAAATCATACTATTTCTCCATACATTATTCTATTTGGTTAAACTGCCAACTTACTTCAATTTTCAAATGTCATATTTCTTTTTTATAAAGGTAACAGTGCTATAAACATTTTCCCTTTAATAAAGAGGCCGACTAACAGTTGGTAATGCAGCCTCATTGTGACATCAATGCAGGAAAGCTTCTGTTCCTTTGATGGCCAATTTTAATGCATTATTACCAAATTTATGACCTCAGAGCTCCAAGTTTAGAATACAATTAAAAATTCAACTTACTGCCAAACCTTTTGTTATTTCAAAGCCTCACTTGATGTTAAGGTGTTGTAAGCCACTGAAGCTGTGGTGGCTTTAGGAGGCAAGGCACTAACACGAAATTGAAGCCATTAAGTTAATTATACAGCGTGAGACTGACAAGCCTTTTGGACAGTGTTTTACAGAAAAGACATGCTTTCAATTTCAAGTCGGATGATGTATGGGTATGCTGAACACTGGCCCAAAGACGGATACACCCAATGTGCCAATGCTGCTTTTTATTCCCATCAAAAAAACAGAAGGATCCAAAATACTCCAATATTATGTGATTAAGATAACATCATATTGTCAACAGTGGGAGCTGCACTTAGGCGCAGCTCAAAAGTGTGTAAGGAAAGTGATTTTCAGTGATTGTTGACAACTGTTAAACTGCTGTGAAGTTTCCTGGGAAATAAGTTGTCTGCCCTTATTGTAGCCTGTCTACCAGTTATCTTGCCATCACTACATGACCTTTCATGTCCCTTTCTTTTATACCCAGCGTTTAATGAAAGCAGACCTCATACTGTGCTTGAACTCTTGCTTGGTTCATCCTGTGTGGATTAGCTTCTGCTGAGGCTGGGTGCAACAGAAAACGGGTTCTTTTAGCTCACGGGTGTCGCCTCAGACCTTCAATCATGACACTGCGCGGCCTGTCATGTCGCCTGAGGTGGCGTTTCACTGAAAGATGGAGTCAGATTGTTTTTCTCTTTGGAAAAAGTCCCAACAGGATCTCTGTTCTACTTTTTTTCCCCGGCTTTGAAGAGCTGTAAAACTGCGGCGACACCGGACGCTTTGAAGTTTCAAACAGCTAAATCATACAGTGCTCTCCTTCCTGTGCATTGCAAAACTGATAAGGCTCGGTGTCATGGCCTCCTCGGTACAGGCAGCAAACGGCAGCAGTGTCAGCAGAAAACCAACATCCATATCCGAGGGAATAAGGTGTCTAGCTAAAAAAAACACATTCTTTGACCAACGAGGAAGTTTTATGCAACACTGATTCCAAAGTCCCCTTGAGCCAAGGCATAAATAACAATCGGTACTGGAAATTAATGCCTTCAGTGGGTTGTGCAGCGGTGCTTATAATACCCTACCTCTCACTGTCCTTCAGGTGCATCCCCCCCTCTCTCCACCAGGAGATTGTGGCCCTGGGAGAAGCGTGGGGGCGACACTCTAACACCACCTCACCCCCCCTCTGGATCACCGTGGACTTCTTCACGGGGCGCCGGGAGAAGTCAGGCGGCGAGGCTGAGGAAGAGACCCGTGTTGATGCCGTTTGTCTCGCTTTGTCAAGGTGCAACAGCTGTGCATCAGCCAAAATGTCAAGAGCATCACCAGCAATTACGGAAATTATATGTCACCACCAGACTGGCTCATTGTTGGAAATAATTATGGAAATGAATGTGCAAGGCCGCGGCTCAGTGAGGTGCTAGTTTCGCTGGTTTCTACTTATTTATTCACTTTCAAATAGGGAGCATTTTAATTCCAGTGACAGCAAGATGTACAGACAGCATATCTTTGCTTTGCCTCTTGTTCAGTCCGTTGTAAATGAAACAGGGCAAACACGACTGCTTACCTACAACCTTGAGCTCAGCGCTGGCATACACAGATCCATGCTCATTCTCTGCCACACACTGATACATCCCAGAGTCTGACAGACTGATCTTGGGTATGGTCAGTCTGCCAGCTTCCAAATGGATCCTCTCCTGAACAATAAAAAAAATTGAAAGAAAATGTCAATTATCCTTTTTAATGATTTTGAAACTTGCAGTACTCGTACTCGCTCGCACATCTTACCTCTGCTTTTAGTGACTGACCATTCTTCAACCATCTGTACGTAGGCATAGGTTTGCCAATGGCTTTACATTCCCACTGCAGGTTAGCATCGATGGCCATATGGGCATCTTTCAGTGTCTGGACCCACTGTAGATGTTCAGCACCTGCAGAAAGACAAATGGTTATAAATATATCCTATAAATTCAAAAATTAATTGCATATATTCGTAAAAGTGTCGCTCTACAAAAATCAATCCCGATGTGACAAATGTGGTAATTTCCCAGTGAAACTCAGGAATTAATAGTAAGAGAGAAAGAGATTATTTTAAATGAAGAACTACTGCCAAACAACGTTTTTGGGCAGACAAAATCCAGTTTGATTACTCATTCTAAGTCATTCACGTGATTGTGGTGAAGGCGAAGGCATACTAGACCAGAGTTCACACTTCTGGTCTTTTCTGGTCTCTCCTAGGCAGGAATTTGTGACTTGACTTCATTAGTGACTTGACATGTTGCTGCTGGCAACAGATAAGGAGTGGCAAGTAAAAGAAAAGGTAGTATTACCTAAGCTGTCTTTGGGTGATTGTAGACTTGACATGCTGCCACAGGTTTGGACCATTTGCAGAGGTTTTACTGTGCCTACTGACAGCTCTGCCATTACAGCATAATCGGTGAAAGATGACACCTCTGTACGAAGAGAGCAGCTCTCTCTGTCATATAGGACCTAATCTTTTTTATATTATATAGTGTATGGCACTGATTCTCTTTGCTAACCCACAGTAAAGGGTTTCAAGTTATGTACAACATGGCCAATCAGTGGAATCATTAATGTAACCAATCTGAAAAACCCAGAAAGAGATGAACTTCAAAAAGCACCCAAAGAGATTCGTAATGACTGTGCGAATGGTTGTATACATTAGATTGTATAATCCAATGAGATATATAAGATGAGCTACATAAGGATAGGAAATGAATAAGAATTTGGTTCCTTTGTAGGGTGACTGGGAAATGGTCAACATTATTTAGCATGTGAATATGATCTTTCTTTGATTTCATGCTCATCTGTTTTGCTATTTGCATTAACACTTGTTGCCCATAAGTCCAAAATAATGATTTTATTGATTGATTTATATAAATATAAAACAATACTATTCTAACCGATACCAGAATAGGTATACCTACAGCAAGTGTGTGTTTTTATAATATTATACTTGTAGATTTGATAATTATGAACTGATCACTGCTTAGTTTAATTTGATTTGTGTCTTTTCACTTTCACTCTCAGTCTGGTTGGGATTTAGTACTAACACTACTTAGTAAGGGTTAGGCGCTAAATTGCACATTGGTTTTCAGAAAAGATTGTGGTTTAGTTTACGATATCTGTATTTACTACATTAACCCAGCACATTAAAAATGTCTCTTTAGCAGCATGTTTAAATACAATTCATTTACATTTGTAATGGGATGGAAACCTCTTTGTGCTCTTACCATAACCTTGTGTATCTCTGAGACAGGTAATACCAGTATTTGGCATCATAGGCGTGAACCAGCTGTTCATCAGGGCTTGTCTGAGCTTCAAGTCATGCTTTCAGCGTCAGATGTGCAGTATTTAGTTACTTTTAACTTTAAGAAGCCTTAAGCTCTTGCTCACTACTATTTTTAAGTACTGGTTAAAAACTTCCTTCTTTACACTTAACTTTAAACTCTAGTTAGTTCTACTTTTGACCCTCAGATTTCTTTTAAATAAAAAAAAAAACTCTATTGAATTTGTTCTTTTTATGTTTTAATGTGACACTGTTTCAATGTCATCTCCATCTCCTTTTGAATTCATACTGTGAAGCACCTTGAATTGCATTCATGTGAAATGTGTTGCATAAACAAACCTGCCCGGCGTTACTGCTGCTTTGTGTCAACAGCCATTCACGGCTTAATCTTTAGCACTACTGATGTCATAACCAGACACCTCAGAATCCACGCTGCATGTACACAAGGTCTGCATAAAACAAAGGATCCTGAATCTAGTTCAGACACTGATATCCATCTTTCCTACTTTCTTATCTGCACATAAGGCAGACAGGAGCAGGTGAGACACCGACTCCTCTCTCTGCTTTTAGAAGTCGACTGTGAATATTCGCAGATGGCAGGGATTTCCTGAGATCTACAAATGACCCCTCTAAATATTTGAATTTGACAGTCAGGTTCAGAGATGGTAAATTTGTCCTGAGATACTGGGAATCATATTTTCTGAATATATTTATTACACTGCAGGCAATTTAGACTCCAACAATAAGGACACATGACTTCAAATTATCATGCTTATTATCCTTCCTTTAGAACAAACATTAGAAAAAATAATGCTTGAATAAAGGGCTGTTTTCCAATAATTATAGCTCTGACTAAAGGTCTAAATATTACTGGAAGAGAAAAAAAAGGTTATTAGTAGACTCCGATAAGCAAGAAGCAAAATGTTCTTCCTTCCTTACTGTGGAATATAAGTTGCCCTCTGGCAACATTTCGTCCTCTGCTGTTTTCGGCTACACACTCGTACACGCCGGCATCCTCTGGGCGAAAATATGGAATTTCCAGAACCCCGCTGGAGTGGTTGATTTTAATCTTGCCAGGGAGTGGATTTCCATCAGCTCTTCTCCATGAGATGGAAGGCACAGGGCTGCGGAGGTCAAACACAAAGAGGTCACGCAGGCCACATTCTCCTGCTCCACCATGACCGGAAAGACTGCTGCTGCCGTGTTTGATAGTAATTGAGGACGCTGCTCTGCAAATATTCCAGTGGACTGTGTTGTGCCACTTACTTTCCTAAGGCAAAGCATTCCAGTTTCACTGACGATCCTTTGGAGACATGAAGGGTGTCAGGAAACTGAACCTCGATCTTTGGCTCGTATTCGCCCATCACCACTGCGCAAGGCATGAAAGGAAAATCATATCATTTAAAACACAAAAGAAGGGCAAGAGCTGTGGCGCAGGTGACAACTAGTTCACTCAAGTGATTTATCTCATAGACTGATAACCACAAGGCAGACTGGTGATGGTGATGCTCACCGTCCCTCCGTACCACCACTGGGGTTGGAGAGCTGAACACTGTTGAGTTGGTCATCATGTTTCTCACTGCGCATGTGTAGTTCCCCGCATCCGATGCTTCAACTTTGGCTATGTACAAGTTTCCCGTCTTCTGAGAAATGAAACGACGAGCATCCTGCCGCAGGAAGCTGCGCTGTCCATTGAAAACCCATGAATATTTGATCTCTGGAATAATGGGAACAGGACATGAAATGCAGATAGTGAGGCACAAAAGAAATAAACTTTCCAGTCACATTTCCAAAATTCCCAGAACAGCAAGACCATTAATGCCTAACACATACATAGATAATTTAAGGACAAAAGTACAGGCCCACCCACACATTACACTTACAGTATGGGAGCTGCTCGGCCATGGACACCCACGCTACAAAGCTTTGGTGCTGATATTAATGCCAGAGGAGATTTGGAGTTCTGCACTTATTGAGTCAGCATGGGATTGGCCACTTTTAACCCTTTAAGACCTACCATAGAACCAAGTCCGCCAGATCTTATATTATATTTTTACATGCTGTAGTGCCATTTTTGGGAGCTATACATCAATACAACCATTATAGCCCAAATTGTATTAATATGTATGCATTAAGTGCATAGTAATTACATAAATTGCAAAAAAGTGCAATAAACTACAAAAAAATTGAAAATCTTTTTTGTTTTTTTAACATATATTTCTAGTTAGAGAAATTTAAGAGGCTTATCCCTCAAAACTGTAAATACAAAAAAGTTGCACAAAATAGTT